TACAAGTAAATGGAGGAGGTCAGATTTTTTGTATTTGTGCCAGTTGGGGGTCAAAATACTGATGCAGATAATGTTTACACACTTGGCATTGGGTTTTATTACATGTTACATTGGTTGGGTGGGTGACTGGTTTGTGCAGTCTATATTATGTAAAGAGTGATTTTAGATTCCAAGGTTGTCACCTGGCATTGGGATTTCACTAAATATTTTATTAATTGTTTGGTTCTGACACATTAATTAATATGAAAATTTCACGCCCACCAGAGAAGGCAATTTCCAGGACTCATAAAAGACGACCTTACATCCTTCAGCTTGGTTGAAATAATCAATTAAACCTTTTATCCTAAGGTCAACTGTTCACTAATTTTCACAAACCCTCATAATAATTATTAATTAATAAATAAATCTATACATGTACAAAAGAACCTTTTTTTCTCAAAACAAGTCCAACTTCTTTATTTTATTTTATTTTTTAATCATTTCACCCCAAGCAAGGCAATAATACCACAACAACAGGAGTGGGACTTATTCTTCCAGAGAATTTTGTTGTTGTTGTTTTTTCCCCTGTGTTGTATTACTGTAAGGAATTTGATAGTTTTGCCATGGTTGGCGTTGTAGAGGGTTTGTAGAAGGCTCTCTGGGAAAACTGTATTCTCTGAGTAAACCTAAACCCCTGTGTAATCCTTTAATGTGTGATTCTATTTTAACTTGGACTTTTGCCATTCCTGTTGATATTTAAATGAAGACACTAAAAGCATGCATCTGACATTATCAATGCTATGGTCTGGTTGGTTGAACTGTGCAGCAACAGGTAAATTGTTGTTGTTGTCTTTGATGTTTTTTTATGGTTATTGAACATATATTATTTTATGGTTATCTTACATATCATATTCTCCCATATATATATATATATATATATATATATATATACACGAACACACTACAGTTCAAAATTTTGAAGTCACCCTCAGAATTAACATGGGATGAACTTGACAGAAGAGTAAAAAAAAAAAATGAAAAAGATCTCTTAGAGTCATTGAAAAAAGTAATGGAATCAGTTATCAAACATATACTTTGAGAAACTTTTGCAACAAATGCCAAAAATTTGTGCTGCAGTAATCAAGGCTAAAGAACGAGAGTAAAATTTATTCATAAAATGCTTTTTTTCTTTTTGCCATAATAAAATTTCTAATAAGAAATCATCTCTGACTTTTTTTTTTTAACCAGGTATAATAATCTTCTCTAATTGAAAGTACAAAACAACTAATTTTGGGGCCAATTTAAAAAATTACCAGGGCTTTCCTCAAACTTTTGAACTGTAGTGTGTATATCTGCCTATATTTCTGAGATGAGGTATTATGAATATTATTTACATTATTTGAACTATTGTCCTCATCTTTGTCACCATATTTATTACAACGTTTCGGCCGTTGTACGCTCCAACCTTCTTCAGGTGGTTGGAATGTCGAACTGAACCCTTTATTTCGCTCACTGGGATAGACTGTTCAAGTTCCATGTGCCATGTTTAATGGATGTCAATTATCAGTTATCTCATTAGTTATAATAAATATGGTGACAAAGATGAGGATAATAGACCGAATAATGTAAATAATGTAGTGTGTATATATATATATATATATATATATATATACACACACTACATTATAGATGAAAGCTTGTAAAAATAATAAGAACTCATGCAACAGGAATTTATAGAAACAAGGATCTTTTCATTCATAAACAGATTCGGGGGGTTTTGTATATTGTTTGAATTGTTCGTGACGATGGATTTCTCGCCAATTAAATCATTAACCTTTGTATTTGTTTTCTGTATGAATAATTCATGAATTTGTAAATTGATTGCACCTTCATTGAAATATATATATATATATATATTAATTAATTAAATTTCATTTTTATTGTATTTTTTTATTTTTTTGAATAAAGTGTTGAGTATTATGATAAAAACTGTGGATAAACTGTTCAAAGTTCATATTGTTTCATTGATTTGTTCAAGTATTCCAAGCCTCTCAGTCATTTTCAAGAACCAATGTAGAGTCTGTGTGTTTTTTATACTCATTTCAATTATTTACATTATTTGGACTGTTATCCTTATCTTCATTGCCATATTCACAAGAATTAGAACTAAGCAACCATAAAGCAAATATGGAATATTTAGAAAGAAAACTAAAAATGTAAAAATAAGCAGACTTTGTGATGTGTTATGGTTTAAACTCTCTTATACTTGTAATGTTTAAATGAACATTGGAAGAATTTTCCTAAATTTAATTCATAAATCCTTCAATCATTCTGCAATATTAGAAAAGATTTTTAACAAAAATAATGTTAAGAAAACCAAATATTAACCTTTTCCTGAAACTCATTTCTTGAACTCTAGATTTCCTGTTCTGTGTAGTTTGTGAATTCTGTTAATGTAAATCAAATGTTTCTAATGGAATGTCCAATGGAAGAGCTGAATCCTGTCGGATAGTTTTTGAGTGTTTAGAAGTGTGTAGTTGGTTGGCGTATCACACCCAGAAGGAAAATTGTACATCAACGTCATAGGTATGGCATGCAATATATCCATCTGTCCACTTCTCAGTGCCATAATGCTGTTGTCCTATAGCAGTATTTCTTTTTTACAAATGATATAGTATTGGACATATGATATCCACATGTAACCAAATTTTACAGTTCAGCAGAGCTTCAGCATGTGAGCCACTGTTGGGTGTATCCTTTGAGACAAATCTGTCATGACCTAGTTACCATAATTTTGTGAAAGTTCAAACAAATTCTTCTAATCCTGGAGATACCAAAATTACTAAGAGGGCATAATATATTATATATTTTTTTTTTATTTTATGGTTGACTCTAACACACACACACACACACACACACACATATATATATATATAATTGAGTATGGATAGGAATCTGACAAAATGATAGAATAAAGAACAAGTAGGAAATAGATCTTAATCTAATATGTTTCACTTTATTAAAGCTTTGTCAGGGATCAAGACAGAAAGGATAAATGATAAAAACAAAGAGATGCAGATTAATGGTAAGTTGTGTTTGGCTATTTCTTAACTGTTATAGTGGAACACACCTATTCTATAGCTAATAGACTCTCCCACCTATAATAAGTAGGAGTAGTAAGAATAACGTGGGAGTCACTCAGTGGGTCGGTCAGTCAGTCGATGCCGTACGACAGTCGAATACTAAAGTATCAGCGACCACAACTAGATTACTCTGCATTATAACTATTATATCAAGTTCCTAACGTTTTGTACGTCGAACCTATTTTAGGACCGACCTAGTACAAATACAAGGCCCCACTGTGAAATCACTCCACAACATTAATGTAGCTAACCAATAAGAAATAACCAAACACAACATACCATTGATCTGCATCTCTTTGCTTTTTATCGTTTGTCATTTCCATCTTGACCTCCAACAAAGCTTTAATAAAATGAAACAGATTAAGATCTGTTTCCTACTTGTTCTTCATCATATATATATATATATATATTTATAAGTAATGAAATTTTTATTTATTAATCTGATATATATATATATATTAATGCATTAGATAGATATATTAATGCATTACTCTTCAAGTACAAATTGAGTTCTCTTGGCTACTAACGTATTTCATATAGAAAATTTCCCTTTCTTTCTGCTGTGCACCAACAGCTTAGTGATAGGATCTCTAACTGATGCCAAATCATTTGAGTTTTGATCCCAGCTTATAGCAATTGGGCATCTAGCCACACTGAAGAGTTATGATACAGTGAAACAGTCTGTCTGTGGATGACTATATATATATGCACTCAGGAAATCCAATTGAGCTATCTGGAAAAGAGGGTAATTTTAAAAATAGTAGCTGCTACTGCTGTTAACACATTGCTCTTCCTTTGAATTGAGCTCTCCTGTCTACTACGGTATTTCATATAGAAAATGTTAAAATTACCTTTCTCTCTACCGTGCACTGATAGCTTAAAATTGATGGTTAGTCCTTTCACTCTCCTTTACTACCCTATCCTGGGCATCCTGTAATTTTCTTTCAGAGTCAGTCATCAACACAGTGTCATCTGCATATTGTTAAGATGACACACAGTGATAGTAAATCGTCATGGAAAGCAAGAATTCAGAAGTGCAAATCCTTATCATGAAATTGTCAGACACAGAAATATTATAACATGTATACAACAAGCAGTGTGAAAGGGATGAAAAGAGAGAGGGTCTTACTTGTAATATTTCCCTATAGGTAAAAAGAGCAAATCTGTAGTGTCCTCTGTTTTTTTTTTTTTTGTGAGGCCATGTGCTTTTTCTCTGTATGACCTACTACTGTGGGCTTGTGATGTCCATCTTCACCATGGCCTGTATAGCAACTGGTGTTTGTCACTCACCAGATGTCACATGAACCTCTTGACTTTGCTGCAAGCAAATCGAAAGCATCGCCATTTGCATTTCTACAATAGAATCCAACTTGCTCAAAGTTCTGTGTGAAATTATAAAAGTGATGATTTACATTGCCGTGTCATCTGCTGGTGTTGGTCCACTGTCCAAAGTTAATGACTCGAAATTTTAGAGTGCTTTATTCATCCGTTTACTGTCAAGATTTATGATGCTGATTTCGTTTTACAGCAGGACTTGGCACCTGTCCACAGGGCCAAAACTCCGAGTAATTGGTTTACTGACCATAGTATTTCTGTGTTTGAATGGCCAACCAACTACCTGACCTGAACACCATCTTCTTATATTTGCTTCGAAATATTAGTGACCATGGCTTTCCACAACTTCCTGTTCTTTGCAGCTCTTAATAACATTTTTTGTTTGCCATCTCTTTTAAATCCTACTCCACCATCCATTCACACAAGCTCACCCGGTAGGTTGTGCATTGCTTTCCTTTGTCCCTTTTACATTCAGTCTGTCCTGTGAGTATCAAAATTTTCTCGCCTTCTTTCCTCATTATGTGCCCCAGAAATTTCAGGCTAACGGCCACATCAGCTTACACCAGTTTTCATACGATTACTGAAGTTAAACCATGTTAAGCCTGGTCAGTACCTAGATGGGTAACCACTTGGGAATATCAGATGTTGTAAGCTTGGATGTTGTTGTAGCATACCTATGGACGATAATGTGTATGTCTCCATTCACATAAATACAGTAGTAAATACTGTATGTTGGTCTGCAGTTGGAAATTCATTGTGGAATTCACTTCACTCAGTTGACTACTTCTATGCACTGCTGGCGAATCTTATATGTGTTATTCTTGTCCTAAGTATTAACGTTCATTACCAACCTTCATTTGATTATTCTATTCAGTAACCTTCCCTTGGTAACAACAATACAGTAGTAATAATTCTGTTATCATCATCTTCTTCATCTCCTGGTAATTTTTGACCAATTTATGTTCTACTGTCATCATTATTAACAATTCTTAGTTTAATTTTGCACATGATCATAAATATGAACATTATATATATATATATATATATATATATATATATATATATATATGTTGTAGCATATCTATGGATGATAAGGGGTATGTCCCCATTCCCATAAATACAGTAGTAAATACTGTATGTTGGTCTGCAGTTGGAGATTCATTGTGGAAGTCACTTGACTCACTTTTATCAGTTGACTACTTCTTCTATGTACCACTGGCAAATCTTATATGTGTTGTTCTTGTCCTAAGTATTATCATTCATTACCAACCTTTATGTGATTATTCTATTCAGTAACCTTCCCTAGGTTACAATAGATGTGCAGGTGGTTTAATGGATAATGGCTCAGAATTATTAATCAGAGAACCAAATTCCAATTTCCATTGGGTTCATTATATTCACTTAGGTGCAACTACCCTTTGGAAAATTATGAATCCATATCTTCTCCTCCTCCCAGCTATGGGTTAAATAATAATACTTATATCACTAAATCATTATTATCTAAAATAAATAAATAAATAAGAATTGAGTACAAAATATTTATATTTTTGCATTAAATAACCCATAGAGGTGTTGATATACTGCTAAATAAAAAATAACCAACCAACCAGAAATTTCAAATCTTACTTCTTGATGTCCCTAGAACTTCATCATTGCTCACATGCTCAGTCTATGATATTCCCAGAATCCTTCTGTAAAACAACTTTTCTGTTGCTTCAAGTCTCTTCTCTATCTCTAAGGAGATCGTCCAGCATTCACTGCCATATAGGAAGATTCATATTACATAAAATTTCAGTACACTTTGTTTTTGTTTCCAATGGTATTTTTAGGTTTTTTAATACTTTGCTTAGCTTTTAGAAGGCATCTTTCACTATCCCAATGCACATTTGGATTTCCGTGTCATACTTTCCATCCTCTGTTAATATGCTTCTCAGATATGTAAATTGAAGCACCTGTTTGAGATCGGTATCTCCAATCCATAATTTGCATGTTGGGCTGTCCTTTTTGTTGACAACCATGCATTTAGTCTTTTTGTAATTGATGTTTCTACCAACAATGGTCCATTGACCAGCATATAAAATAGTCAAGCCAAAATACATATGGCCTTAAGTATTAAACGAACTGTCACATCTGGATGTTGACCTCAGTATCGACTTTCATATTTACGTAATGCTATCTCTCTCTCTCTCTCTCTCTCTTATATTGAGCACACATAAATATAGCATACCTTAAAACTATAATTTTATCACACACACACACACACACACACACACACACACACATATATATATATATATATATATATATATATATATATAATTATTTATTTAGAAAATTTATAACATAAACATGTTATAAAATCACTACAAAAATAGCCATTTTGTTTCAACACTCCTGGTGTCTTATCAAGTGATGATGTTGAATGCAAAACAGATGGTTTTCAAATTCATTAACGATCTTTCACAAAGGGAAAACATTGTTACAAAAGCGAGAATGACCAATCAAAATACAAGTATAGGAAAATTCAAAAAGCCTGACAACGAAGTCATGTTATAATAGCTATTCAGATTGTTAAAATACGGGTAAAATTAAAAAAAGAATTTATTCTAACCAATAATTATTAAATTATATGATAGAATTTGATATTAAAATTAAAAACTGCCAATTTTAAAATCCAAATTTAATCACTATTAAGTTTAAAATTATAAAATTACCGAGGAGAAAAGGGGAAATACATATGTTATTCAATTTATTTCTTTGTTGAAATCCTCCGACAATATATATGTATACATAATCCCAAGTGTGTGAATGGGGTCGTAAAATCACACGTAAAACAACACAAACACAATCAGATTATAATACATAAGCATCTGGACATATTTAGATATATATATACACACAAAAAAAGTGACGAGACAGAGAACATCTCCACGGCCCTTTATGAAAAAAAAAAACGAAAAAAAAGGGAAATTGAGCACTCTTTTAAGAATAGTAATTGTTGGTTCTTTTAAGAATAGTAATTGTTGGTTATTGGAATTCATTCCATATACACCAATTATATACTTATATATATATATATATATATATATCCGACGTGCAAATTTTCGGGATAACAACTGAGATGTTACTCTATTTATTGAACAATTTAGCATTGATTGATAAACTCCTACAACAAAAAAGTTCTCAAATTACCATATTAGTAAAAAATGCACTCCCTTAAATTTTCAAAAAAATTCAACCTTAGTGTTGCGACTGCATGCTCCAAAAGTTTTTATCCATTATGTTTAGTCCTGAAACCCATACAGTCTCTATAAGGTGTGGGATTTGAGACTCTAGACTCTAAAATACAAATTAGCTAAAAGATACAATCATAGCAATTTGGGCTCCATAACATCTCAACAGTGCTACAGCCTGTCATCTCCAGGCTATGCCCCATTGATGCAGGAATTTATGCAAAATGAACCCCAACTAAAAGTCTGAATGTTGTCATTTTTTAAGGAATGCACACTCCCTCATTCAGATTTTCTTGAAAGCCCATATCTGTTTGATTTCATGTCCAAAACGTAAACAAAGTAATTTCTAAAGAATTAAAGGATTTATTTTTAATCAGACATTATCAAATTAGTTCAAATGTTATTTAGAGTTCAAATGTTTTTCTTAAATTTTAAGCTGTGTATATTATGCCTACTCCCCTGTACACTCACACGCACATATATATCTGTGTGTGTGTGTGTGTGTGTGTGTGTGTGTGTGTGTGTGTGTGTGTGTCCTGTTGATACCCCTTTACAAGTGGACAGAGTGATTCCTGGAGGATCCGTCCACAAAACACTGGAGTCAGTATGGTGAAGGTAACATCACTCAGCTAAATGGCAAAACATTTGCTTGTATTAATTATATATATATATATATATATATATAGTCATCTACAGACAGACTGTTTCGCTGTATCACAGCTCATCAGTGTGGCTAGACATCAGAGCATTTCAAGCCAGGAATGAAACTCGACTGATTTGGCATCAATCGGAGATTCTAATGTCTGGGCTATTGGCACTCGGCAGAGAGAAACACAAATTTCTGCATATTTATTTTTTCATAAACATACCAGTGACCTAGAAGACTTAATCTATTAGGAGAGTCTTGCATTATTAGCAGTAATATTCACTGCTTACAAATTCATGCTTTCTCCCCACAGTTCTTGACTGAATTAAATTTTTTAGGAGCTAATATCATCTACTATCTATCTATCTATCTATCTATCTATATATATATATATATATATATATATATATATATATATATTACTAATAATAAATATTTATTTTAATACTGTTTATTGAAATAATTGTCGGACTTTGTCCATTTCATAATACATATATATATATATATATATATATATATATATATATAATATAATATATATAATATATATATATATATATATATATATATATACATATATATATATATATATATATATATATATATATATATATATATCTTGAACAATAATATCATCTATATATATTGTCTATATATATATCTTGAACAATAAAAAAAATGTTAAAAATTAAAATTTCTGACATACTGGGTTGTATATTAACATTTCGGCCAGCATCGCCATCATCAGGAGAAAAATTCCTGCTTATTAGTAGCAGTGAACTACAGGGGTGAATGACTGTCTCTAAAGAAGGTGAACTTTGCCTATAGTTTTCGTGTTTTTTATCACTAGTCTTTGATCCGTCCTTGTATTGGTCAAAGGCCTTTTTCAACCTTACACGAAAGCCACCAATCTGCCACTAGGTGGAATGCCACTAGTGTTTACTCTTGGTTGCCTGCTGGAGGACCGCTGACATGTTTGTCTCTGCAATGTTACCACTTGTGGACCGTGAGAGGCCCACTGGTGTCCTACTGGTGGCTGCCACCAGAGGACTGCTGATGTTGCCAATGGCGACCCACCAGCGGGCCACTAGTGGCTTGCATGTAGGGAAGTTCCTTTAAGGAGAGATTGGGGGACTCACGAGCCCCAGATTTACCTCCTTAGTCACTTTGACAGCTTTATTGGTTACTGGGAAGGGGATGCGTGTTTTATGGGTATGCTATCTTTTAGTTTTCAGTCAGCACCTGTATATATGCATATATTTTTTTCAATCAATTCACCCCAAGTAAGGCAGTAATACCACTATGCAATAGGCTCCTGGGAGTGAAAGAGAATGAGAAAGAACTGGAAACCCATTCCTAATCAGGAAACAAGGGATAAACCTCTACTCCTGTTCAAAAGAATACATCATACTTTCCTGTTTTGTCTAATGGCCTAATAATATACAATAAATATTATTAATATTATTCCCTATTTTCAAATTTCTGTCATCGGCTTTCATAATTGATACAATAATAGTTAATAAAAAGAACATGCTACCGCCCCTGTCTAAATGATTGGATTTCTCTGTATCCTTGAAAACAAAAATTATGAATGTATATGCTATTAAAACTTAGTAAATTTCAAAATAAGTTATTCCAAAATTCACTTGAAGATGAAACAGAACTATTGCTTTTGATTTAATTATATAATTGAATTTGAAGTTTTTAGTTTCTGTTTTTGAAACATGGTAATTCCTGTGTTGCAATGAAACCATATTTTTAAATCAGTTAATTTATAATATATATATATATATATATATATATTAGTGGGAGAATATATGTTAATTTCTACATATCAGAATAATGTTAAGCACTTTCTATAACAAAGTAGAAATGTTCTGTGTAAAGCAAATTTTTTATTTTCCAAACATGGTCAGCACAGTGTGACCATGTTCATAGTTGATGTCAATCTATATAATAAATGCCAATGTCATTGTGTCACTTTCTCACACTTTTTCAGTTAAAGGGATGCAATGCTCTAACTTTCAATAGCTCATGTTACAGAAATTTTGGATTCCAAAGTTTTCATTACTTCAATTGTTTTTGATGATTTTTATGTGATTTTTTTTTTGCAACAAAATTTTTGTACGATAACAATTTTTATAACTTGGAAATAAATCTGGAAATAATCGAAATGAATTGCAAAACCCAGCAAAAGCCACCCATGAAATAAAAAATAATAGTTTGTATGGAAAGTAAGGACCTATACACATTAAATTGTCTTTAAATTAAGTGGTGGCAGAAGAATTATCATTGAACTTTTAAAAAGTAAGCTAACATATTAATGCAATACTTAAATGCAGCAATCAATTTTGAGTTCTTCTGCAGTTTATTGTTGCCTATTGCATATGGCAACAGTATGCCTTGCAAAAAGAAATCTCTGCCAACAGACGACCAGATTGCAATCAAATGAGCCAAGGCCACAGTGAGGAAAAGAAATACTTGTGCAAATCAAACAGCAACCAGGAGAGCTTCCAACACTGAGAATATACAAAGACTTAGGATTCTCAAACTGCTGAACAAGCTGAAGGCCCAATCAAGAGTCCTCCGCAGATACTAGATAGGGCGGATTTTAAGCTAGTGTATGAATAAATTGGAAAATAAAAAAACATGCTCATAACTCTAGATACATGCATAAAAATCTGCACATTCAATTAGAATTAAAAATTAAAACAACATCCTTGATAATGGGTAAAAAAATAGCCGAAAGTGTTCAGCCTTACAAAACTGTTGTATCCTTAAAGAAGGTTACAGACAGACGAAGGTGGTACTTCAATGAAGAACAGCAACACAGGCATAGATGAAAGAAAAAGAGGTTTATTGTAAAAGAGAATATGCTTCTGAAAGACAGGGCATCTAGTAATTCCTGAAAGCAAGGATATCTATCAACTGCCTCACGCAGTCAGATGTGGCACAAGAAGAAAGCAAAGATCATGAGGATAATATAACACTTGATCCTTGACTTGAAGAGGTTTATAATTGTAATGTTCAAGGAAGCATCCATGTGGGAGCTTGCTCAATAAAGTTGCAGTTCTTGAAAAAAAAAAACTTTCTGAGTGGAACTTCCTCCTTACATTTGGAATACAGAGCAAATGTGGGTGATTAATGTTGTATCTGTAAGAGCTTACAAACAGACAAAGGTGGTACTTGAGTGAAAGGAACAGCAACACAGGTGTAGATGAAAGAAGGAGAGGTTTATTGTAAAAGAGAATACACTACGGAAAGACAGGGAATCAGCAGGCTTGTAATTTCTGAAGCTACTCTCAAGTATATCCTGTGCACACTATATATACCTACTGATATAGTTAGTCAACAATAAGCAATAAGGAGAATGGAATATTTCATTACAACAGTTGACTTGACACATTAAGGAAAGCATCACCATCAGGAAAAACAGCAGATGAAAGAAAGAGAGGTTTATTGTAAAAGAAAATACACTACTGAAAGACAGGGAATCAGTTAGCAGGCTTGTAATTCCCAAAGCAAGGTTATTTACCTCACCTACCCACAAGGCAGGATGTGGCACAAGGCCGTTTTTAATGCGGGGTTAAAACCAAGCCCATGGGCTTGGGCAAAAATTCCCTGTAGACCCCATAAAAATGGGGTCGGGTAGCTGTCTACCAGCCCCAGATGAGACTCTGCCCTTCTGCATAGCCTCGTCTGGGTTCCTGTCTGCCCGAAGGCAGAGAGTTCGACTAGCTTAGCTGTAGACAAATCTTCAACTAATTCTCGAAGCAAGTCTCAGGTATATACTGTGCACGCTATATATACCTACTGATATAGTCAGTCCACAATAGGCGATAGGGTGTGTGGGACATTCCATTACAACACCTCCCCCAAGCTAATTTTCTCATGAAATGTTGCTCAATACCTCTTCATTTTGGGGTCAGGACATAACTGGTTGTCATTTTTCCTCTTCCTAGTACTTATCCGTTTCACCAGCACAAAAAAAATATTCAGAAAATTTTTACACAAAATAAGTCCCGAAAAGAAAAGAAAACTTATATGAACACAAGGAAAATTAAATACAAAGCTTAAATGCAGTACCTTGTCAGACGTCTTTAATGAAAATTGAATATATATATATATATATATATATATATATATATATATATATTAGAAATCAATTGATTTAAAATATGTTTTTTCCACTACACAGTTCTAACCATGTTTCAAAAATGGAAGCTAAAAGCCACGAACTTAATTTTGCAATTAAATTAAAGACATTAGTTAGCTTTTAGCTTCCATTTTGAAATAATTAGAACTGTGTAGAAAAAAAAACATTTTAAATCAATTAATTATAATATTAATGCTTCGTAAATTTACATTGAGCACTATTTTGTAAAAAAAAAATATCTATAAGAACACCGGATTATATATCTTACTGTTCTTTCTTTTTTTTACATTTACATATAAATATATATATATATATATATATATATATATATATATATAAGGAAGAGGTTATAGTAGTTCAATGAGAAAAGTGTGTATATTAAAAAGAAGAGAGATACTGCAAACGCTTAAGGTTGTAATGTGGATTTTTTTTTAAAATATTATGTTTTATTTTCCATAATTTTACTACATGTGTTTCTGGTTTTCGTGACTGCCATCAGGTAAAGGGTGGAGATTTCCACATATTATTAAAAATAATTCATTTTTTTTCTCCTTTATGTTTTCCGATGTTAAATATTCTTGATATGAGACATTCTCTTTTTATGTGTTAGTAATCCAAATTTCTTTCTTGAACTGGCAGTCAAGAGTTCTGTGTGAAGGGTCATAAAACAGTTAAGATTGGTCCGAGAGAAATAATGAATTAGTTATCAGTATCTTATCTTTTAATGTTTTATTGACCCCTGTGTGTTCTTAGATCTATTTCCATTTTCATGTGTTTCTGTCAGCATGTGTGTACATATGTGTATATTCTCTCTCCATACATACACACTGTCTCACTACGAGGAATTAGTAAAACATATTTGTACACATACACACAGATATATATATATATATATATTATAAAAGAGAGATTGCTACCCAAATACACACACATGAGTTACTAAAGAGAAATAACTGAAACTGAGATATCCAGAAAAGGCATGAAACTAGAACAATCTACACCCATGGACTAAATATAGGGTTCAGTTCAAAATTACAATGTATATTATCTGAAGGAGGCTGGGGTATACAATGGCCAAAATGTTGTGAATATGATAATAAAGATGAGGACGATAGTCCAAACAGTGTAAATAATTACAACACCTCATTTCAAAAATATGCACACACACGTATATATTTTAATATACAGAAAAATATTTGCAAATATGAAAGGATTATGATAAAAAAACAGACATAATTTATTCAATCAGACATGCCTAAAAGAGAATTTGCTGCCTAAATACACAAATATATATATATATATATATATATATATATATATATAAATTACAATAGAAAAATTGTAGTAGTTGCTGACACATTTCATCCAATGTGGACTTTATCAAAGCAAAAAACGAAATGAATTTAATTAAAGAAAGTAACTAATAATAACAAAAAACAGAATGTTCTTAGCGACTGGAGGAATGTAGAGAACGCTATTTTCATATTGTTAACTGAAAATAACAGCAGTTATTGTCAGGTGTGGAGAATATTGTCATTATAATATATATAAATTTACTAGTTTAAAAATATGGTCCCATTGCTACACAGGAATTACCATGTTTCAAAAACAGAAAGTAAAATTTTAAATTTAATTATAGAATTAAATTAAAATCCCTAGTACTGTTTCATTTTCAAGTGATTTTTAGAATGTTTGTTCTCTACATAATTAGATTGAGCACTGTTTTTTAAAAATAAAACTAATTAATAAGAACACCAGATTATAAATCCTGCAGTTCTTTCTCATTATTTTAATATATATATATATATATATATATATATATATATATATATATATATAAACTAATAATAGTAATAAATTAAATTTAATACCCCATTTTCTTTGTTGGGGATCTAATGTGAATAGCCATCACCAATTGATCCAATTCCCCAAGTGAATCTTTTCAGCACTGAAAATCTTGTTTACCATAACTGTGAACATGCAGTCACTTCATATATTGATTACTGCCCTTATCAGGTCACGGTCATTTCCCAGACTTTTGTAGATTCCCTTTAATACCAGCTTCAGTTCACATGCAGTCAGGAGTCAGTTCTGAAAATCATTTTCGATATCCTCTTCAACGTATGTGTCATATTTTTTCCCACTTATTTCTTCATCTTTTCTTTCCTTGCCTTTTGCTTCTTTGAATTTTATTTTTTTTTTACTTTCTGGTTTTTGTCATTTTTAAAATTTATAATCTGACAATTTTTATTCTCTTATTTTTTTTTTCTACATTTTGTCTTTTATTCATTTATCGGCTTCTCTTTTTTAGTTTTCTTCTCTATCTGCTTTCCTTCTCTCTGTATATATCTCCTTTTGCTTCACTTTCTCCTTTCCATTTCTTTCTCTTTTCCTTCTCTTTCTCCTTTTTTACTTTCCCCTTTGCTTCTCTCCTCTTTTGCTTCTCTTTCTTCTTTCCTTCTCTCTCTCTCCTCTTTTGCTTCCCTTTCTTCTTACCTTCTCTTCATTTGTACTTTTCTTTTTTCATTCATCCTCTCCCATTTTGCTTCCCTTTCCCCTCTCTTTCTCCTTTCCTTCTCTTTTGCTTTTGTTTGTCCTTTCCCTCTTTCCCCTTTGCTTTTCTCCTCTTTTGCTTCTCTTTCTCTTTTCATTCTCTCTCTCCTCTTTCACTTCCCTTTCTTCTACAATTTTGCTTCTCTTTTTTTCATTCCTGCTCTCCCATTGTGCTTCTCTTTCCCCTTTCTTTCTCTTTTCCTTCTTTCCCCTCTGCTTTCCTTTCTCCTTTCCTTCTCTCCAATTTTTCTTCTCTTTCTCCTTTCCTTCTTTCCCCTTTGATTCTCTTTCTCCTTTCCTTCTCTCCCCTTTTGCTTCACTTTCTCTTTTCCATTTCTTTCTCTTTTCCATTTCTTTCTCTTTTCCTTCTCTTTCTCCTTTCTTTTTTTCCCCTTTGCTTCTCTCCTCTTTTGCTTCTCTTTCTTCTTTCCTTCTCTTTCTCTCCTCTTTTGCTTCCCTTTCTTCTTACCTTCTCTTCATTTTTGCTTCTCTTTTTTCATTCCTCCTCTTCCATTGTGCTTCCCTTTCCCCCACTTTCCTTCTCTTTTGCTTTCCTTTTTCTCCTTTTCTTCTCTTTTGCTTCTGTTTCTCTTTTCCTTCTTTCCCCTCTGCTTTCCTTTCTCCTTTCCTTCTCTCCAATTTTTCTTCTCTTTCTCCTTTCTTTCTCTCCCCTTTTGCTTTACTTTCTCCTTTCCTTCTATCTCGCCTCTTTTTCTTCTCTTTCTTCTCTCTCTTTTTGCTTCTCTTTTTTCATTCCTTCTCTCCTGTTTTGCTTCCCTTTCTCCTTTCTTCCTCTCCTCTTTTTCTTCTCTTTCACCTTTCCTTCTTTTCCCTCTGATTCTCTTTCTCATTTCCTTCTCTCCCCTTTTTTCTCCTTTTCTTTTCTTGTTCCGCTTTTGCTTCTCTTTCTTTTTTCCTTCTCTTTCTTTTTTCCTTCTCTCCCTTTTTGCTCTTCCCTTTCTCCTTTTCTTCTCTCCCCTTTTCTCCCCCTTCTCATTTCTTTCTCTTTCCTCTGCTTCGCTTTTTCCTTTCCTCCTCCCTCCTTTTGCCTTTCTTTCTTCTTTCCTTCTCTCTTTCCTCTTTTGCTTTTCTTTCTCCTTTCCTTATCTCCCCTTTCTCCTTTCCTTTTCTCCCTTTTCTTCTTTCCTTCTCTTTTGCTTCTCTTTCTTCTTTCTTTCTTTCTTTCTTTCTTTCTTTCTTTCATTCTTTATTTCTTTCTTTCTTTCTTTCCCCATTCCTACTCTTTCTGCTTTCCTTCTCTCCCTTCTTTTGCTTCTCTTTCTCCTTTCTTTCTCTCTCCTTTCACTTCTCTTTGTCTTTTCATTCTCTCCCCTTTTTCTTCTCTTTCTCCTTTCTTTCTCTCTCCTTTCACTTTTCTTTGTCTTTTCATTCTCTCCCCTTTTGCTAATCCTGACTTTAAGATTGTCTCTAGGCAGTAAAGGGAGAAGCACAAAAAATGGATGAACCACCAATTGCACAGAGACCAAATGTATGTCTGTTAGCAAAAGAGGACAGTCCAACATATGAATTACAAATTGGGGATGCTAATATCAAGCAAGTACAAAAATTGAAATATCTAAGAAGTGGAAAAAGAGACATATAAAATACAAATGTGCATTGCAATAGTGAAAGATGTTTTCCAAAAGCCAAGCCTATTCCTTCTCTTTCATTTTATCTTTTTTCTCCTTTCCCCTTTGCTTCTCTTTCTCCTTTCCTTCACTTTTGCTTCTCTTTCCCCTTTCCTTCTCTTTTTCCTTTCCTTCTCCTTTTTTCTTCTTTCTCCTTTCCTTCTCTTTCATTTTATCTTTTTCAATTCCTCTTCTGGTTTGTGCCTTTTCTTTCATTCCACCAGTTTCATTCCTTTTGTTTTTAATCATTCTCATTCATTCCATCCCTTTCCTTGTTCCTCTTTTTAGTCATTCTCTTTCATCTCCTTCATTATTTCTTTTTTCATTCTTCTATTTCATCCCTTCTATTTCTTTTTTCATTCCTATTTCATTTCTTCTCTTTCATTCGTTTTCTTTCATTTATTTGCTTTCATTTTGTTGCTTTTATTCCTTCTGTTTCCTTATTTCTATTTTATTTATTCATTCTTATTTCTTCTCTTTCTTTGCTGTGTTATTCCTTTCTCCTCTTTCATTCTGATCTCATTCATTTTAATCTTTCTCATTTTATCTTTGTTTAGCCTCTTTCAGTTCTTCTCTTTCACTCCGTTTTCTTTCATTGCATTCTCTCTCTCTTTTCTTCTTCTTCATTCTATAGTTGGTTTTTTCTTTCTTTCATTCCAATCCCTTTCATTTTTTTAATCTTTCATTCCCTTTTTCCTCTTTCATTGCAATCTCTTTCTTTTTTCTTTCATTCCAACTTCTCTGCTTTATTCTCTTTCATTTCTAGGAATTCCTTCCTTCACTTTCATTCCAATCTCTTTTATTTATGTGTTATTCATTTCTCTTTCTTCATTCCAGTCTTTTTTTTTCTTTCTACTTTTTCATCCCAATCTCTTTCATTCCTCCTCTTTTCTTTTTCATTCTTTCTTTTTGTATATCTTTCTCAACTTCATTTACACTCTGACAGTCTTTCTTTTTTGCGCATTACACTCTTTTCTGCTAACAGGGGTTTCTTGACAGCTATGCACCCCCTGAGCCAAGTCAATTTTTCACAGTTCAAAACGAACATTAGTTGCTGTCAGAGAGGAATGAAATTCAGCTGTTAAGTCTGGAGCAGTTTTCCTTCTGTTTTTTGTTTTTTTGTCTCAAAAATCAAGTGTTTATCTTGTCACTTTCGGTGCTCAAGGTTTTTTTCTCTCAACATTTGCATCAGTTTTCTTTATAACAAATATTGCACCCCATGTCTAGAAATCTTCAACTTCCTCAATCCTGGGTATGACGATAAACTACATCCACATCCTGGGTAAGACGATAAACTACATCCAACAGCAAGGCCTTTGATCAGAAGGTTCTGAGGAACATGGAACCAACTCTTATTTGCTGGTGTTCCCAGGTCCACCCAGACCTGGGGTGGTAGCATCTGTTAGGGTCCCAGCTATGGGCAAATAGTTACCCCCGCCCCCAAAGGGGTCACAACACTATGAAAGTATAAAAATAGGTTTTAATACCAGCAATACTATTTTGGAAAAAATTTTTACCAGCAATACATTTTTGAAAAAAATATTACAAACAATATATTTTTGAAAAAAAATATTACCAGCAATAAAAATCTTGTCGGCATTAAATAACCCATTGAGGTTGATATGATAGATAGTTCCACACTCCTCAAAACCTCTTGATCAGAGGCCTTTCTGTTGGACGTAGTTTATCGTCATACCCAGGACAGACAAATGGCAGGGTCTCAAGACCATATATGACAGCAATATTCCATCAATTTCAATAAATAAAATAGACTTTCTTTCTTCAATCAGTGTAATTAATATTTTTGAAGGTCCCGGTGATAAAACCAAACCAAACTTCAACTTCTTTCTGATTTGCCTTTGAGAGTAACGTTTTTTTAAATAAAATTTCAATTTGTGTCTTCACATCCATTCTTAGATGCTTTGATTTTGTCATTTTGTGCAAATTAATTCAAAATTAAAAAAATAAAATAAAAAAACTACGAAAATATTGTCATAATGTCACAATCCTTTTTCTTTTTTCCCTTCAAGTCGAGAGTGAGCCACATATGTCTTGTTTATGACCTTAGTCCCTGCTGAGTTCACATTTAGAATCTGTATTAACATTTAACTTCATTGAAAATTTTTGAGAATCTCAAAAAATCTACTGAGGAATTAATGGTAAAAGTAAAATATAACATTTCTCATCCAAAATATTCATAATTTAGCAAAACGTATTGTGGATGGATGAATCCCTATTTTAACTTTTTGGTAGTAAAAGGAGTCTGGGGAAAGACTGGAAAATAAAAGCAAATGAATTTACTAGAATTTTATCTTTTACTTAAGAAAATACAAAAATATCACATTTAAAGGTTTTTTTGTTTTTTTAATGAAATGCAGGGGTGGGGGGCTCAAAATTTTTACTTGTAGTGTAATGCAATAGTGTGAATTCTGTAGTGTTGTTCAATACTTATTGAATGTCAATATTCATTGAAATTATATATATATATATATATATATATATATATATATATATATATATTGAATGTCAACAGTGTTTCATAATATTTGAGCCACTCATCGGGACTTTCAAAAATAATAATTACACTGATTGAAGAAAGAAAATCTATTTTATTTATTGAAATTGATGGAATATTGCTGTCATACATGATTTTGAGCCCCTGCCGTTTGTCTGTCCTGGATATGACGATAAACTATGTCCAACAGCAAGGCCTCTGATTAAGAGGTTTTGAGGAATGTGAAACCACCTCTTAATTGCTGGGTTTCCCAGGTCCACCATGGCCTGGGGTGGTAGCACCTGTTAGGGTCCCAGCTATGGGCAAGTAGTTAACCTCCAAACTGGGGTAAAAACACTATAAAAGTGTAAAAATAGGTTTTAATACCAGAAATACTTTGTAAAAAAAATAAATTTTTGAAGAAAAAAAACTATTACCAGCAATACATTTTTGAAAAAAAAATATTACCAACAATATGTTTTTGAAAAAAAAACTATTACCAGCAATACATTTTTGGAAAAAAATATTACCAGCTATACATTTTGGAGGAAAAAAATTATTACCAGCAATACTTTTTTTGAAAAAAATTATTACCAGCAATACATTTTTGAAGGAAAAAATTATTACCAGAAATAGATTTTTGACAAAACAAATTATTACCAGCAATAAAAATTTTGTCAGCATTAAATAACCCATTGAGGTTGATATGCTGTAAAACAAACCAAACCAAACCAAACCCCTGCATTTCATCTTAAAGTCATCAACAAAATCCAGAGATGGATAAGCAATGTGGTTGGCTCTGATCTGGTGTCTCATTTACAGTCACTCTCTGACAGATGTGCCATTGCCTCCCTCTGTCTTTTCTACAAATACTTTCATGGTAACTGCTTCGACGAGCTATTTTCATTAGTTCCCAAACTGTATGAATTTAAGCGTGATACTAGGTCGGCATCTCAGTCCCACCCTTTCACTGTCAAAACTATTAAATGTAGCCATCTCTTCTACTCCAAAGTGACTGCAGTTGAGATGCCAGGTCTGGATCGGTTTCACTAGAGACCCTTCTTTGAATTTTGTCAAGAATCTCAAGATGTGTAGCAGGAGCACCAAACCAAATATAGCAACTGTATTTTGTCAGAAGTAAGAAGTTTTTGTTGCTTTTATTATCTTTTTACCTCTTAATTGTATTTGTGATTGTAAATTTAACAAAGTGGCAGGAAATCACAGTTTATTACTTTTAAATTCTCCTTACCTTGATTCTTTCATTGATAAAGCATTTAATTTAAGCAGCTCAGGTGAATGCTACACAATTTTACAGTCTCTTAATTTTATTGCTGACTGAAGAGGTTTATATTTGTTTTCTTTTTCACAAAGGGACAAAAACAAATAAAATAACACCAAAAAGAATCAGATGAACCATCTACAAAATCACCATGTTAGATATTTTTGTAACAGAGGCTTTACTGTTAATAAGAAAAAAGTAGAGAGGCAGTCTCTTCTGCTTCCACAGGTTTCATCACAAACCAAAGACGTCATGTTTATGGAAGCTGTTTAGTGTCACTGCTGATGGCCTGGTTAAGCTTGCCTGCTGTGGGGTCTGTTGCTGATATCAGCCTGGTCAGATCTACTACTGTTGGTGAAAATGGTGGCTTTTATAATCAGTCTGTAGAACCTTTTCTGATTGGTCAGAAAAAAGGTGTTATGAACTTGGTATTTTAGGACAATATTTCAAAAGTGGGTGTGTGGAGCCAAAATATTTAAGGTTTGTTTTTGTCATCTGACATGTAACTGCTGAAGTGAACACTTCATTTAAGTTAAAGAATTGAACTTCCAACAGGATACAACAAGGAATTTTCCTTAGATAGTTTGTTTTCTTGTTTTTTAAATTTTTTTCACACATACACATTTTTTTAAACATTTCCCCCCAAGCAAGGCAATAAAGTCACTTAGACACAAGGAGTTTCTGAGTGTGAAAGAATAAGAAAAAAAAAACATTAAGGAGTGAGAACAATAGAAGAAAAGTAATCAAGACAACAGTAGATAACAATTGACATTACATTTAAGTTTTTGAAGATCAACATTGGCTGAAAAGCAAGAAGCCAGAAGCAAGTTCCACAGGTGAGAAGTGTGAGAACAGAAAATATTATCAAAGAACCTATGATTACATCTCAATAATAAGACCTTACTGCCAATCTAGTACAGCAATTAAATTCATAAAGCCTATGTACCATAGAGGAAAGTTCACTAGAACAATTACCATGAAAGTATTTATAGAAAAGGCAGAGAAAAGCTATATTACGGCAGTGGGAAAAGAACTGCCGCCAAGATGCCAAGTCAGAACCAATAACATTGCAGATTTTTTTTGGATTTTATTAAGAATTCCTAAATTTACAGCAGAAGCACCAGATTATATGTGACAGCAATATTGAAAGCATGGAGAAATAGTAGCTTTATAAATATGTAAGATAGATTTTGGAGAGATAAATTGTCTAGCACAACACAGTGAACCAACTTTCCTAGGAGCAGGCCTAGCAATTGATTCAATATAATCTTTCCACTTTATGTCAGCAGAGAATGTTAACCCAAGAAGATGCAATGAGTCTCTCTCCCGGAGGTTAGCATCAGCCATACTGATGAATGTTAAGGCAATCTGGTTGTAAAGAAAATGACTGAAGATAATTGAAGCGCTCAGAACAAACTGACGCATACTTAACATTACCTGCTTTTAAACCAGTCAGAGCAGAGCCAGTGCATACTACACCTGAATCACCAGACTGGAGGAGGGGGTGGTGGCAGGATTGATTAGGGGCCCTAGGGAGTTTCCCTCGCTATCTTATCAACATTTGCTTTTTTCTACCTGCATTTATATATGTTACAAATTAAACTGAGTAAAACTGACTATGGAAGGATGAAAAATTTTTGTGAATTTTGACATCATTCAGGGTCTTCTTTTTTTTTTTTGTTCAAATCCATGAATTTGTTTTGCTCATGCAAAAATCTAAAAGAAAAACACTATATAAAATTCCCTATTTTTCATCCATAATGCTGAATGTGTTAAAATTATTCAACATTTTAACAAGAAAAATTTCAAGGCGATGTTAAAAATTGCTGCAAAAAAATTCTGTCTATAGTCAGTAATAAGGAGTGCCAGAGAAAAGTGATAATAACAACAAAAATTGCAATATGAGCTCTGGTAAAAACATAAATGATAACAGCACAAATTGCAATATGAGCACTGGTAAAAATGGTTGCTGAAGACATTAGGCTTATAATACCCAGAAATTCATACACAGATGTATGAGGACACATGGTACAATGGATAAAGGCATTAGATCCAGTGACAGGACCCAAAGAGTGTGAGTTCAATACCTGCTTAAGGTGGTGGAGAACCTTGCAAGGGGAATTAACTGATATCCATTAGACATGGCATGTGGAACTAGAACAGTCTACCCCAGTGAGCGAAATAAAAGGTTCAGTTCAACATTCCAACCACCTGAAGAAGGCTGGCAACAAAGATGAGGACAATAATCTGAATAATGTAAATAGTGTGCAAAAAAAATTGTTGATTTATTTAAGATGGAATTTAAGATTTATTTAAAATGGAATCATCTATTATATGTCTTTAATTTGAATTTAGATACATTGTATTTATTTTCAATTTTTCTAGTTGAATTGTTCATCTATATTGCATAGGATCCATTATTCTACATTATTAGGTTAGAATAAAATTTGTATTTTATATGAATACTACCTTATGAAAACTGAGATGTAACAGAGTGGGCGCCATATCATAGAATTGGTGGCAGGTACGAGACCCTTGCACCGTGGTAGACCAAAAACAGTGTAAAGGGGTAAGACTAAGAGTTACTTTGAGCAGCAAAGACAGGAAGTTGTTGAGAGCCATGACCATATAAAACGTTGTTGATTTATTTAAGATGGAATGATCTATTATGACATGTATCTAATTTGTATTTAGATACATTGTATTTATTTTTAATTTTTCTAGTTGAATTGTTCACCTATATTGCATACAATCCATTATTGTACATAATTAGGTTACAATAAAATTTGTATTTTATATGAATACTACCCTATGAAAATTGAAATATAATAGTCAGGGACCCCATGTCATATATTTGGGGTGGGGCACAAGACTCTTGTACTGGCCCTGGCCACCTCTACAAAAAAAATCCTTGCCATCATTGTTTGTCTGCTAATGTTTTTTTCTGTTCTTCCATATTAAACATGTGCACAATTTTCTTTGGAAAATATGCATTTTCTGTGGAATCTCTTTATATCATAATTTGTTTTTAATTACCTGCTACACCTTGTATGTTGTCATTGTTGCATCTCCAACTGAGTGATGAGTAAATTCCTTTTAACGAATAAATATCAGAGTGTGATATATGCTGAAGTTAAGTCATCTTTTCTAATCTCAAAATCAGGGTGGAGCCAATTTTCAAAGCAGGAACTCAACTGCTTCAAGTATTTCTGTAGCTTTTCCTTCACCCAACTTGATATCCTTCAATTAAATATTTTTTTTTTTTTAAGCATTTCACCCCAAGCAAGGCGGGAAGCCACTAGTACGCAAGAGGTTACAGAGGATTTGGAGCAAGAGCAGATAGGAGTGATAGAGGGAAGGATGGGGAGAAGGATAGTGGATAGATCAAGGCAACTGGAGATGTTAATTGACAGTACATTTGAATAGTTGGAGACTATAGCTATCAGGGAAAAGGAAAAGGGAAGGAAGTTCCACAGGTGAGAGGTGCAAGATATGAAGCTATTGAAGTAGAAGAGGTGGCTACATTTAACAGTTTCAACAGTGAAAGGGTGAAAGCGGGATGCCAGCCTCGTAGGGCGCTTGAATTCATGGAGTCTGGGAACCAGAGAAAGCAGCTCATCAGAGCAATTACCATGAAAGTATTTGTAAATATTTCAGATTTAGAGTGATCCCAATTTTGAAATCTTACAATTCTTGTAGTCCTGGTATTGTGAAGTGAAAGTGTTTTATTTTTTTCTTTCATAAACTCTTTTTCACTTATCTGCAGGGAATTTTTCAAAAATCCCTAAAAGACGCTTAAACCAAATCCTAGAAACACTCTGCTTTTTTCCTATAGAAATGGAAACAATTATAACAATTTACTTATTATGATTGAGAATGATCATATTTCCTCATTCTAAAAACAACCTTTCTACCAGTGATGATTGATGATCAGGATATTTCATTATCCTGGAAATAAAGACAAAAATGTCACCATTTTGAAATGACATTGCCACCAATGATGATATAGGATGATGATATTTCATCATTCTAAAATCTAAAACTTCATCATTATAAAAATGACCCTTCCACCACTAGCAAAGTAAGTGCCATTGGAAATTGCTTGGCATGCCACATGTGGCACGTGTGCCGTAGGTTGCCAACCCCTGAGGTAGAACAAAGATGCTATAATTCAGTATAGTAGTGCAAAATTGCTATAATTCAATTTGTTATAGCAAAGACTATAATTCAATATATTGATACATATTACTATCTGTTAACATGTTGACTCCCAAACTACATTTCTTTTGTCCCAGTACTATATCTTAATTAATTTTCATACAAGCAAATTTGTTTTAACATTGTTTCATGTATGAGGCAAGGATATAAAAAATCCATATTACAACCAAAAACGTTTGAGGCATCTCTCTTCTTTTTAATATACACACTTTTCTCTCGTTGGAACTACTATAACCTCTTCCTTTTTATATATATATATATATATATATATATATATATATATATATATATATATATATTTTTTCATTAAAGACGTCTGACAAGGTACTGCATTTAAGCTTTCTATTTAATTTTCCTTGTATTCATATAAGTTTTTTCTTTTCCGGGGTGAGCCTGGGAATATCAGCAATTATGAGGTGGCTCCACACTCCTCAAAACCTCTTGATCAGAGGCCTTGCTGCCAGATGTAGTTTATCATCACACCCAGGACAGATAGAAAAGGAATATCATTGACAATGAATCTTATCTTTTGTAAGAATAAAGAATCAGGTTTGTTTTTTTTTCTTTCTGCCAGGCGTGTATAAATTTGTTAATAGATTAGCAGCTATTTAAAAAGTTTAATTGACACGTATCCATTTCTTTCCCTGTTATTAGATACATAATTGACATGTTCCATACATCATTTACAAATGAACATTAAAGTATTTCTGCACATTATACGTGTAATTATGACGTTATAATTTCTGAGATATTAACATATTAATTTGATAATTGCTCTTTTAAATCACTTTATTTTTTTTTTGTTTTTAAAATGCCATATACCTTCAGAATGTGGCTTTCAGGGTTTTCCACAAATAAAATTTTCTTTTATTATCTGCGAATTGTCATGATTTCTTTAGAATGATAACAGGGGTTTTCTGTTATTTTCTCCATGATTTTGAATTCAGAGTTACCATTCTCCTGGACCAGCTGCTATCCAAGGCTACAGAGCCCAGTCAGCCATGTTATTTGATCCATTTTTTTTTTCATAAATGCTATGTCCTTTCAGGATGTGGACAATCATGGCTCTCTGCAGACACCATTTCTCTATTATCTGTGAACTGCAGGGCTGTTAGCAGAGACAAATTTTTTTATTTTTTGGGGGGGACAAAAAAATTTAGAATTAAGTTTTAAGTTATCAAAGGTCACCAACATGGTTAGTAGCAAGAACATTTAAAATTTCCAGTACCTCTAGATTGGCAGAAATCATCTTTGAAATAATAGAGAACAGTCTGTGTTAGAAATAAAAGAATTTTTCATCTTTTTTTTTTAATATCTGTTATGGGGACCTAACATCATGGACAAAATAGACTCGTCTTATGACTATATTATGCCTCGCAAGAGGACTGTAGGTAGAAGACAAGTTGACTACTCTACTTAGCCGTCAGACGGACGTGCAACACTTCTGTATTCGTTCTTTTTTTTAATAATATGTTTTCACTGAATCGCTGAGTTTGAGTTTTCTTTTGGACCTCTTCCGGGTTCACAACAATATCTATAGGGAAAATATACAGGGTGATTGAAAAGTAATTCCCTATTTTATATATGATAGACTCTTCTGTCTAATTATAATTTTTACAAGATGGGAGAGTTCATCATATATAAAATAGGGAGTTACTTTGTAATCACTCTGTAGATTCATTATTGAAGGAAAAAAGTGTTTTTTTTTTTACTAAGTTCTTTTTTATTTGAGCCTGGAAAAAATAAACCAACGACAAAAACATTTTAAGCTATTGTCCAATCTGTATTGCAGTACTGGGTGATTTACTGTTTTGGGGAAGATTGTGTCTTGAAAATTTCCCAAATTGGAAACTTTGATGTAATTTCCTTCCAGAAAACAAGTTTTGCAGCTTCTATTAGATTAAAGTGAAAATGCACCCATGCGATAAAGAGAAATTACCTTCACCATACTCCTTTAAAGAAGAACAAATGGTAAAGATTTGTGGGGAGACAAATCACCCTGGAACCCTGACTGCTACAACCCCAAATTACCATAACTTATTGGGAAAAGATATTGGAGTGATTTCTCATTATCTATCTATCTATCTATCTATCTATCTATCTATCTATCTATCTATCTCAGTCTCTTTATCTATCTATTCATCTATCTATCTATCTATCTATCTATCTATCTATCTATTTCAGTCTCTATCTATCTTCTCAGTTATATCTGTCTGTCTGTCTCGGTCTCTTCATATCTATCTATCTATCTATCTATCTATCTATCTATCTATCTATCTATCTATCTTTCTCAGTCTCCTCATATCTGTCTGTCTGTCTCGGTCTCTTCATATCTATCTATCTATCTATTTATCTATCTATCTCAGTCTCTTTATCTATCTATCTATCTATCTATCTATCTCAGTCTCCTCATATCTGTCTGTCTGTCTCGGTCTCTTCATATCTATCTATCTATCTATCTATCTATCTATCTATCTATCTATCTATCTATCTATCTCAGTCTCTTTATCTATCTATCTATCTATCTATCTATTTCAGTCTCCTCATATCTCTCTGTCTGTCTCGGTCTCTTCATATCTATCTATCTATCTATCTATCTAAGTCTGTTCATGTTTATCTGTCTATCTGTCTACTTATCTATCACTGTAAACCTTTAAAGAAGAACTCTCTCTTTGGGCTTTATGAAAATTATATTCTTCCTATCTTTGATAGTTTTTTTTCTTTCTTGTATTTCTTTCTTTCTTGTATGTTGTTAAAATAAAACACAGTAAAAAAAATGCAACAAATGGTAAAAATTGTGGGGAGCCAAAGCACCTTGGCCCCCTGACTGCTACACCCCCAAATTACCATAACTTATTATTAAAAGATATTGGAGTGATTTCTCATTATCTATCTATCTCAGTCTGTTCATATCTATGTATCTCAATTTGTTAATATATATCTATTTATCTATTTCAGTCGATTCATATCCATCTGTCTGTCTGTCTATCACAGTTCGATCATATCAATCAAGTCTATCTATCTCAGTCTGATCACATTTATCACATTCTGTTCATATCTATCTATTTCAGTCTATTCATTATCTATCTACCTATCTCAGTCTGATCATATCTCTCTATCTCAGTCTATTCATTATCTATCTATCTATCTATCTATCTATCTAAGCCTGTTAAGTATCTATCTACCTATCTCAGTCTGATCATATCTCTCTATCTCAGTCTATTCATTATCTATCTATCTATCTATCTATCTATCTATCTATCTATCTATCTAAGCCTGTTAAGTATCTATCTACCTATCTCAGTCTGATCATATCTCTCTATTTCAGTCCATTCATTATCTATCTATCTATCTATCTATCTATCTATCTAAGCCTGTTAAGTATCTATCTACCTATCTCAGTCTGATCATATCTCTCTCCCTCAGTCTATTCATTATCTATCTATCTATCTATCTATCTAAGCCTGTTAAGTATCTATCTACCTATCTCAGTCTGATCATATCTCTCTACCTCAGTCTATTCATTATCTATCTATCTATTCTATCTATCTATCTATCTATCTATCTATCTATCTAAGCCTGTTAAGCATCTATCTACCTATCTCAGTCTGATCATATCTCTACCTCAGTCTATTCATCTATCTATTATCTATCTATCTATCTATCTATCTATCATCTATCTATCTATCTATCTATCTAAGCCTGTTAAGTATCTATCTACCTATCTCAGTCTGATCATATCTCTCTCCCTCAGTCTATTCATTATCTATCTATCTATCTATCTATCTAAGCCTGTTAAGTATCTATCTACCTATCTCAGTCTGATCATATCTCTCTACCTCAGTCTATTCATTATCTATCCTATCTATCTATCTATCTATCTATCTAAGCCTGTTAAGTATCTATCTACCTATCTCAGTCTGATCATATCTCTCTACCTCAGTCTATTCATTATCTATCTTATCTATCTATCTATCTATCTATCTAAGCCTGTTAAGTATCTATCTACCTATCTCAGTCTGATCATATCTCTCTACCTCAGTCTATTCATTATCTATCTTATCTATCTATCTATCTATCTATCTATCTATCTATCTAAGCCTGTTAAGTATCTATCTACCTATCTCAGTCTGATCATATCTATCTATCTCAGTCTATTCATTATCTATCTATCTATCTATCTATCTATCTATCTATCTATCTATCTATCTATCTATCTATCTATCTATGCTAGGGCCCCAAAAGACTGGCCATTCACAACTCCATTCAAGGACCTGCCTGTTAGGAAGGACTTTATCATTGAGATGATTTTTCCAGTGATTCTATAGTGATATATTGCCATATCTTCCTATCAAGGCTTTTCCTGGCCTTATCATTCCTATTTTTAAACTCTTATTATACACAGGAATTATGCTATTTATAGGAAAAAATCAGATCACAGGAAGTTAAAAGATTGATTTATTAAATTCTTAAGTTTTATTTTTTAATAAATATATTTCCCAATTTTTAATATTGATTTTTATGAAGGAAAAGATTATTAATCATTTTCCAGGATGTGAGTTTTTATTTTTTTGAGCATACAACACAAAAATGGTTGTCTGCTTTTTTAATGCTTTTGAGGTGTGGCTGAAACAACCTTGCTAATTGGTCAATAAATGCTAATGTGGAAATTTGACATTCTTGTGATCCTATTATTACATAGAATTGAGATCTTTATACAACTTAAATCTTTAACTGAATTTGACAAATTTATCTCTTGTCCCCCCAGATATGGGTAAATAGTAGGACCTATAACATTGGGTGGCAACTAGTCTCAGAGAAAGAAAAACTCTGAATTAAAAGCCAACCTGGAGAGAATTGGGTGTCATCAGGCTATCTTGTCCAGGAAACACCATTGCTACTGCAGTATATGTGATGCCTTTATCGTCCAATTGTGTTATAGGTCTTGTGATATGCTATCAATAAGTATGGCCAGTCTGTTGGTCAAATCAGAAAATTAATCCAAATTAGCCAAAATACAATGTTTCAAATTTAGCTTTCTTTGTTCTGCCATTAGGGAACTGAAGAAAATTTTTGTGCTTAATGTTAGGTTGAATCTTGTGTAAGTTCTATATCTGCGAACCACTTGTAATGACAAATGTCTATGAACTATTGCTTAAATATATCAGTGTTCATCTTGTCTGGTTTTCTAAGTAAAATAAATGCAAACTCTAATAAAACACTTCAAGGCAAAACTCTGGCAATCCACATGTTGATAGTGCCTCCCTGCGACTGAGAGTCTCTGACTGATGCCAAATCAGTCGAGTTTCAATCCCAGCTTGAAGCAGTCATATGTCTAGCCAGACTAATGAACTGTGATACAGTAAAACAGTCTGTCTGTGGATGACTATATATATGTATATATGTATACATACAAAAACACACACACATATATATATATCCAAATGTGTAAAAGAATAAAGAGTAAGATTTCAGCATTCAAAACATTAATTTAAAACAGGGCTCAATACAAAAGTAGAGCAATAAATATTTATTTATTATGCAGTGTTACATTAGAACATGCACATACCCACTACAAAACTGTACATCTTGTTTCAACATTAAATAAATTTTTTTTAACACTTCATCAGGTGGGAAATCATGATGCTACCCATCAATTGTAGCATTGTGATTTCCCACCTAATAAAACTATAAATTTTTTTTAACATTGAAACAAGATGTACAGTTTTGTAGTGGGTAATGTTCTAATGTAACACTGCATATATATATATATATATATATATATATATATATATATATATATATATATATATATACTCATATATATATATATATTTATGTATGTGATACATTATATGGAGGCACAGTCAAGTAATAGATAGTCAGATATGAATCCATCTCTTCCCACTCCCCCCAGCTATGGGTAAATAGCAGGACAGACTGTGTCCTATAACTTTGGATGGCAACTAGTCTAGGAGAAGGACAACTTTGAATTCAAAAATTTTGACCCACATTTGGCTAAGTGTGGTTGGTTACTATCCCTGTTATAGTATCTCTGGAAGAGATTGTAATTATCAAGTCTTCTCTATTCAGTATGTTCATGAAAGTTGTTTTAATTAGCCAGAATTCTGAAGCCCATGAGATCAATGCAGTCATCCCCCAAGGCTCTCGCCTAAGTCTGACACTCTTTGTATTTATTATTAATGCTCTACCTTGAAATATTCTACAGATAATTAGTAATAATATATACTGATGACATCATAGTCTACAGAAGCACCTCCTAAAATCAAAATGTTCAGAGTGTGACAGCTGATCTCTCTACTGACCTAGCTTAAGGAGGAATTCTGTCATGAAGACTTTCAATAGCTCTAAAGCCAAGCTAGTATTATTTCATCATCGTTGATCGGAACCTGGGATTTTTCCCGCCACAATGAACGGTTGCACTCAATAATACTTGGAACGTCTTTCATGAATCAGGTTCACTCCAGACCTCAAGTAATATCAGTCGTTTCTTTGCAAAGAAACATTTTTTTCATTCATTGACCAAGCAGCCAGTACTAATTTTCAGTTGAAATTTATAAAATCTTTCTCTTAAAACAATTTTTCAGGGAACTAAGTTTCTCAAGTCCAGTAGCTGTTATTGTTCTTTCTAATATTAACAGGGGTTTCCTTCCAAACCTTTTTGTTATATGTCATACCTATGAACACAAATGGGTATGTCCCAATCCTCATAAATATGTTGGACAGTATTTTAAGTGGGTAATATGCTGTCTAAGTAGTCCACCACCAGCAATGGTTTACCTACTTCATGTCGCTGGTCAGTATTTTCTTTTATTTTGTCGATGTTATAAAAATTACCATTTCATTTCCAACCTCCTTTTTGGTTATTCCTCATTCAGTAACCTTTTCTAGGTTACAATACTTTTTATTTGAAGCTGTGTGGAATTTCAAGAAAACAGGTTCTTTTTTTTTTTTTTTTTTTTTTTTTTAAGTGTTTCACCCCAAGCAAGGTGGAAAGCCACTAGGACATAAGTGGTTACAGAAAATTTGGAGCAAGATCAGATAGGAGTGATAGAGGAAAGGATGAGGAGAAGGATAGTGGATAGATCAAGGCAACTGGAGATGTCGATTGACATTACATTTGAATAGTTGGAGATTATAGCTCTCAAGGAAACAAGAAAAGGGAAAGGAGTTCCACATGCGAGAGGTGCGAGATATGAAGCTATTGGAGTAGAAGTGACGGCTACATTTAATAGTTTCAACAGTGAAAGGGTGAGAGCGGGATGCCAGCCTCGTAGGGCGCTTGAATTCATGAAGTCTGGGAACCAGTGAATGCAGCTCCTCGGAGCAATTACCATGGAAGTATTTTTAAAGAAGACAGAGAGAGGCGACAACGCGTCTGTGAGAGAGCGACTGTAGACAAGATGCCAGATCAGGGACAATTATATTGCATATTCCATTATCAAGAACCCCGAGGCAAACAGAAGGGGCTCCAGACCATATATGGCAGCAATACTCCATGCAAGGGCGAATTGTTGATTTGTAGATCTGAAGGATCGATTACGATTACTTAAGTCCAGTAGCTGTTATCACTCTTTCCTGTATTGATGGGGTTTTCCTTGCTAACCGTTTATTTGAAGTAGTGTGGAATGTTAACTTGATGATTTTCTCTTCAAGTTGCATGTGCTATCAATTTTAGTTGTTGCTGCTGTTGGTAGTCCTCAAGTGATATGATTTCTGTTATTTTGGCACAGTTCTTTGTGATTCTTACTTTTACTAACTTAGGATTCTGAAATTATTTGACCCATTAGTGAATGGTGTACCATGTTTTAGAAAAAGGATTGCCAAATATTTAAAAACCATCAGCCATAAAATTACTATAAGTCGATTAAGCAAAAAGGAGAAAGATTATTATACATGGTTAAAAAAAAAAGTGAGAAATGATTTTTTTATTAGAAATTATATTATGACAAAAAGAAAAAAAAGCAATTTATGATTAGATTTGACCAAAAATGGAGTATTGCTGCCATATCTGGAGTGGAGCTACGCAATCCTCATTTCCAAGCTTTGATAGTCCTTCTGCCATGCTTCATCTTGACAAGAGTCAGATTAGATCAAAAATGGATTCTTGCTGCCATATCTGCACTGGAGCTACACAATCCTCATTTCCAAGCTTTGATAGTTCTTCTGCCATGCTTCATCTTGACAAGAGTCAGATTAGACCAAAAATGGATTCTTGCTGCCATATCTGGACTGGAGCTACACAATCCTCATTTCCAAGCTTTGATAGTCCTTCTGCAATGCTTCATCTTTACAAGAGTCTGATTTGACCAAAATTGAAATATTAATGCCATATCTGGACTGGAGCCACACAATCCTCACTTCCCATCTTTGATTGTCCTTCTGCCATGCTTCATCTCTACAAGAATCAGATTAGACAAAAAATGGAGTATTGCTGGCATGACTTATTTCTCACCATATAACCTCTTTCATACTGACACAACATTGCCAGCCTCTGGCTACTCTATCACTGTTTCTGTAGTAAATATTCAGATGAGTGCACTATTTTTTTAATTCCAGCAATTCAGACTTTTACAGCTAGGATTCAGATCACCTGCATTTCCTCTGTATTCCATTTGTAAGGTGGAAGTTCTACGCAGCTTTTTTCCAAGAACTGCTACTTTGTGGAGCAAACACCTGGAGGATGCTTTCACTACAGACTTAACCTCAAGTCAAGGGTCAATTACTATCTATCCTCCTTATCCTCATAATCTTCACCTCTTTCTGCTTCCTATTACACATTTTATTCAGTAACTATAACCAAGGTAACCATCCCTGAATAAATAAAAAATAAATAATAATAAATAAAATAAAATAAATAAATAAAAATAAATAAATAAATAAACAAAAATAAATAAATAAAAAAATAAAATAAAGGAACAAAATAAATAAAAAAAATAAATAAATAAGTAAATAAAAATAAAATAAATAAAAATAAAATAAATAAAAATAAAATAAATAAATAAAAATAAAATAAATAAAAATAAAATAAATAAATAAAAATAAAATAAATAAATAAGTAAATAAAAATAAAATAAATAAAAATAAATGTTGATAATCGACAAGAAATAATTAAGTAATCAAGAAAAAATAACGAGTAAAAAATGAACACACAATATTATGAAACTGCTAAAAATAACTACATTTGAATCCACAATTATTTCTATTCAGTAGGCTCTAGAATAATTTGAAATATAAACTTTACCACAGACCCAATAACCATTAGGAATATACAATAGACCATAATACTCTTGATTACACTGAACAG